TGGTGGAACATCGTAGGCTACCCTGTAGCTTTTCAACGAATAAAGTCCTATGAAAAATCATTGTGTAATAAAATGCCTCCGATGGGATTCGAACCTGCGACCTCTCGCTGACAAGGCGAGCGTCATAACCACTAGACCACGATATATATGTATATATAGTATAGGCCTATTTATTTACAGGACTACATTTATTGAGAGCTATGCTACACGATGTATTATGTCCTTTATTCGATCGCACACTGTATTTACCTTTCTTTGATGATTTATATAATACCTAATTTAACAGTGTTTACGGCTATCTTGATTTATATTATACGCAACTATTTGTTCCTAGCCGTACTTATTGTGTAATAGAGTGTATCTGGTGGTATTTGAATCTGTTCAATTATTAAGCCTCCGTGGTCTAATGGTTATGACGCCCGCCTTCACAGCGAGAGGTCGCAGTTTCGAGTCCCGCCAGAGGCATTTTATTACACAATTTTTTCATTCATTTATTTACAGGACTACATTCGTTGTATTATTATGTCCTTTATTCGAACACTGTATTTACCTTTCTTTGATGATTTATATATAGGCCTAGATACGCTACTGAATTAATAATAATAATAATAGTGTAGTTTTATATAGCGCACAAATCCATCTAATGTAAGATGCTCAGGGCGCTTGAAATGTGGACTAGTGACTCGATCAATGACTTTCTTCGCCCCTAAGGGTCCCTTCGTGTCCAGCACAGGGGGTCTTACCACCAGAACCATATAGGCGAGCGTGCCGTTCGAACCAGCGCCGATATTGCTATGCTTGCGGCGCCCCTGCTAACCGCTCGGCATCTTATTAAAGACATATGAACCCTACATTTTAATGTTAAAATTTAAAAATCTTTTAATTTTAATTTGTATAACATTGTCGCTCATTGAAATATCCCATTCATCACAGTGTTAACGTGTGTTATGCAAGTGGAATGACAACTCGAGTTATCTATTGTAGGTACAATAAAGGCCACGATATCACTGATTTCGTACTCGCACGTCACTAAAAGCGACCAAATGTGAAACGTTTCTAGTACTTGTGAATGTGGTATAGGGCCTAATATCTGTCTCTTATACACATCTAGATGTGTATAAGAGACAGGGGTTGAACTCTTTCGGTCTCCTACATATTAGTTACACACACTCGTAGACCTGACCTATCTTAGTCATCAATTTAATTTTTATACTCTACTCTAATTAATAAAAAAAAAATGTAATAGTTACATTTTGATGATGTATTGAATCGATTGAATTGAATTTTACAATAAAATCTATACATATATATTATCCTATCTTAGTAAACCGGATGTTAACTGGCAATGGGAATGGAGCATGTTTTTATGGCATTGGTGTTAGTTAAGTTAACCACATGTTGCATTGTCAAATCATTCATTCTTTCCTCTTACGTTTATAGCATCGCTGTCAATTATCAACTTCTATTCATTGTGACTATAGCGCGGTTATTGCAAACAAAAGAAACATTTTGTCAGAAGAATTGACG